TATATATATATGTATACATATGAACTCAAAGAGCCGTAAACAAAAGATACCTAGGGTGTACCGCCTGCCGCACTTCGCCCGCCCTGCCGAGGCACGCACTGCAGGTTGCAGTGTGGTGGGCGTCGATCTCTCCAGCACGCACCCGGGTTCACGATATGGGTAATTCTCTAAGTTTCCTAAAGCTAAACGGATCCTAATTTAGAGAACTAATATAAGGGCCTAAACATGTACCACTACTCATTTTGGGGGTTCCCTAGTATAATTTTANNTATAATAAGCCCCAAAACCCTATTCTAATTATTAAGGCCCCTACATTACCCATATATAGAAGCTGGAGCGCTTACTGTACCAGTCCTTTGGGGCTGCGTACTATAAGCTTAGAGATCTTAGAGTAGTCTATCCCGAAACTCAATCCTGATCATTAATGTCCCGGAAAGCCTTCAGAGTGAGGTGGAAGCTACTGGGTTTAGGGTTTAGGGTTTAGGGTTTAGGGTTTAGGGTTTAGGAGAGGTTGCGATAGGTGAGATCACAACAGCCACCTTTGAAATTTCTAGCAGCCACCTTAAAACATGGTCTAGGGTTTTGCTTTCTAGGGCCCTAAGCCCTAGACTTTCTCGGTTTAAGGTTCTAGTTTCGGGCTTACGCTCAGGATGCCAGAGCTTAAGGTTTGGTGTTTGGGGCTTTTGCTTACTTGGAGGAGCATGGGACTTAGTAAGTAAGGTTATAAGTACCCCAACTGGGGTTAAAATTATAGTTACCTTATTTATAACCCTAGTTACTAAGTCCCATGATCATCCAAGTAGGGTTCGATATCTGTGTTGGTTAAAGTTGCGCCTGAACAAGTGGTATTGATCACGTGACCTGTATGCAGGCTGTAGATTCAGACAGGCTACAATATACATATATATATATATATATACATATCAAAGTGCCTATCATATTGCTGTTTCCTTTTTTAACTGATATCACTGTTGTTATTCTTGTTCTTATCAGAATGATTGTTAAGGCTCCTATATCAACTAGGCATCACGACGGTCCTATATCATCAAAGTGCAGCCACGACACGTGCCCGAAAGACCCCTTGCTGTAAACCCCTAAACCCTAAACCCTAAACCCTAAACCCAAGGAACATCGCAAGGGCCAATGAGCTGAAGTCGCAGAATCCAGACCTGAGGCCTCATGTTTAGGGTTTAGGGTTTAGGGTTTAGGGTTTAGAGTCGTTGCGTTGAAATATTGGGGTTTAAGCAATTTGGGGTCAGGGTTTAGGGACTTCAAAAAGTTGGAAAAGAGGAAGCATGATGAGTGCTGGGTATCTCCACATCTTAGAACCTTCGTGTTAAGCGCCTAAGACTAATCATCTTCCAGCTTTCTGGGCTCTACTGTCAAGGGGATATTTGGGCTCAGGAATTCAGAGTTTTAGGGATCTAGTCCTCTAGTCGACGGACTCTCTTGCAGGGCGTGGGAGGGTCCTTGAAACTGAACCCGGGACCCGCAAAACGTTGCAGGTTAGACTTCTTGGAGGGCTCCATCACGGACTTGCCCTCGAAGCTCAAGTCTTCCAAGTTCAGCCACATCATGACAGTTCAGGTGGGTACTACTACTACTGGTGCCACTGGTAGTAGTAGTAGTAGTAGTAGTAGTACTACTACTACTACGACGACGACTACGACGACGACGACTACTACTACTACTACTACTACTACTGCTACTACTACTACTACTACTACTACTACTACTACTACTAGTAGTACGACGACCACTAACACTACGACTACTAACACTACGACTACTAACACTACGAC